CTATCCCTCAACACAGAGATATCTGTCAGTAAGGATATAAAAATCACAGCAGTCAATCATTTCAAACCATCCGTTTTAGGGCTAACATGGCAAAAGCCTCTGGTGTGGGCAGAACTGAGCCTGGAGCTCAGGACAAGGACTTTCAGATGCAAACTAATGCAATGGAGATTTGAGTGTTTGGTTTCCTCCATGGAGCATTTCTGAGAAGAAAAGTCTGTAATGAAAGCTGATAGGAAGATTAACTGTGTTTGGGAAAAGCTGACAACAAGATTTTGATTTTTATTCAAGATATTCATGCAAACTGAAGTGATGGAAATCGCTTAGGCAGCCTGAATTTAATAGCTACATCAGGTGCAAAATAAATCAGTGGAGACAGCTCGTGTGGCGGCCAAAGAGAAGTGACTGGAGGGAAGAACACAGTAAATCAATATGTGCAAAAAGAAAACTAAGACATACTGAAGGCGACATATTAATATAGACAACAGGGAGAAAAAATGAGAAGGAGACAGGACAAGATGTACCGGTAGGTCCATTTCTAGTCATAATATTGTATTAGAAAATATTTAAGCTAATGCAAAGAAAATACTGACTGGGTGAAGTCCGTGCATAAAGAACTATCTGAGAATTTACAAGCAAGGCTCATCTGACAGAAATTATTTCACACTAACTGACAACACTGAGATAATATTTGTTAGTTGATCCAGATCCAAGCACAAACAATCACACGAAAACTATATTGTGGAATTAACTTGTGTCCATCCTCCTAAAACAACAATTATACCAGCTGGACACAAGATGCTGCCAGAAACAAAAGACTGTCTCTAAACAAACCACATCGTATGTGTTTAGCACCATGTTTTAGCCTTTTAAGATCAAGCAGAGGTTATAGGATGGAAGTTATATTTTATTTGAATATATTTTTGTGTTCTGGTTGCAGTTTCTGTCAATTAGTTTAAAGTCCTGCCAAACAAGTTTCTGTACGTGGATCTGTGTGTCAGAGAAGTGAGCTTCAGCTTGATGGTCTCCACAGAGCAGAAGTCCTGATGTTTAGTGATTCACGTCTGGTCGTTTCAATCAAACACTGTGTTAGACTATATCCAAAGGAATACAGAAAACATTTTTGAGTCATACTGGAAGAAATAGGTGTGATAGTAACCGTTCCAGTTGTTCTACTGCCGTTTAAAGCTGTTTTTAACTGCAGAAGAAGCAGAATTGCTCCTTTAGTCGCTGATGGAGTGTTAAGTTTCACACATCTGCTCCTGTTGTTTTTATGGGATAAAAAAATCAATTTTTGGAAAAATAGGAGCAACAGTTATAGTGATTGTAAATCTGGATGTGCCGAATCACTTTTTCAAAAGTTTGAAAATATTTCCTGTATGCTTAACACACACTGATGTGTCGACAAGGAGGTTTGAGGTTGAACGGGTCCGGCGCTGAGCCTCGGTTCAAAAGGCCATCAGAGCCATTACAGCTACAGACCTGATTATTACCAGGTGGGCCTGAATTTGCTGAGACTGTGTGTGCTGTGCCATGATAAACTTTACTGAGCTTGTTTTATCACACATTTTTGATGGTATGAGTTACACTGCACTTGAAAAAAATTTTGCTGAGAACTTCAGTGCATTCTTCAAATAGTCGCTTTCATTATTTTTATTGCTGCTGACATCAGAGATGAGGAGCGCTTTGTTCATTTTTTTATAAAATGGACCTCTATGAAAGAAATCAAAGAGCTGTGCTTTGGAAAAACCTCACTAAGCCAAGATGGATCTAGCTGGACTTGACCTAATGCCCTGATTAAACACCAGGGAGAGACTAAAGAAGGAGGTCTTTCTCAATTTCCACTGAAACAAAGACCCCCTGTTTCATAACCCCACCTGGGACACATGCAGTACTGTTGATGCATGTCCACTGTTGGAATGCATCACAACTGCTGACCTGACCCTTCCTTTAATGCATGTTTTTACTCAAGCAAGCAAAAGCATTTCCTTACAACATTTCTACATACGATAAAATCACCTTCTTGTACATTCGTGAGCGCACATCGAAGGAGCAGTGAGGGCAATTATGTAAAGTATCTGGAGCTCTAATCAATGGCAGATGTGCAGTAAGTCCTTGAGGTCTGCTTACACACCCCGTCTTTGTTAGGTAACACTTCATTTAACATCCCATCTGAGCAGTGACTGGCTTCACAGTAATGTTGCAGTAATTAACAGACCCCTGCCAGGTTCAGACACCCTTCAGTCATAAATATGACTTGGCAAGCTGCTCGGCTCCAAAGGTCGTAAATAAGAGGCAACAAATCATTTGTCTCAAGTGTTATTTCATGTTAAGATGGCAACTGACACAGCAAAGTTTATGAAAGGTCCAGAATTAATTAATTAATTTAGATTCTGAAGTAACAGAGGCTCTGGTTGGGCAACATCGAACCTGTAAAGTCAGATGAAATAAGTTTGTTGGAGATTTTTCCAGAAAGTTTACTCATTGGTAGTTACTAGGGACTGACCAAATATCGACCTGAACAACTATCAGTGCTGATATTTGGCATCTACCTGAATATCATTTTTTTTTTTTTTAACTGATTACCTTTTTTTTTTTTTAATTCAATGCACTACTTTTCAATTGCACTAAAAATGTTCTAACAATGAATTTGTTGGCGTCAGTGCAGCCAGAGCTTATTTTGCTGATGGTGCTAGGCGAAGGCTATCCCTATGATGTTTGCTGTGCCTATCTGGAGTATCGTAACATCGTTCTAAAGTAAGAATAACATTAGCAATCTGCTCTAACTGACAGACACGTCTCTCTAGCAGAGACACACCGGCAAAAACTTTATCACTTATGATGTGTATCAGTTTTAGCCCTGAAAAAATAATATATCAGTCAATCACTAGTTTCCATTTAATGTTTTTGGTTGAACTGAACTAGGGCTGCACCTAACAATTATCTTAACTTACGATTATTTATATAGTTTATCAATTAAATAAAAAAATATGTGGGTGAATAACTGTCATTACAGTTTCAGGAGACCAATCTTCAAATGTCTTTAACAGAGCTTTGTAGGTGTCCATTCCTGTGATGTTGTTAAACCAACAAATGTTTTTGAATAGTTTTTCCATCAAATTCATCTTATCACAGTGTGTCAATATTGAGATTTAAAACTACAAGCACCCTGTTGGGAATGTTATTCCTGTCACGAACAGCAAAACAGAAGGAAACTGATGACATCTGCCAGTGTTTAGCTTTTCACTGACTTTACTGCCAGCTTGGAGGAAAGAGAAAGGAAGCGCCAGTGCTAATCTATACAGCTGGATATTCTCTTATATTAACCAGGTTGCTGAAATGCTCAGGGCCACAGCTGAATGGGCAGCTGGCCTCCACTAATCTCCAACCTACAAACCTCCTTTTGAACCACAACTCTGTTAATTCTGATATGACCACAAATGGGTTGGAGTAGCATTAAAAAATTACAGGTCACGCCTGCGTGCTCAGAGGCGTACAGTAAACGGGCAGCATTTTGAAACGCTCGAGGGCAGAGGTCATTGCCGCATCCAAGCCAAGGAAATGCCCAACAAAAATATGTTGGAATCAAAGCATTGCTAATTGACAGGTCTCGCAGCCCTGCCCCCACGCGTCTATGACCATCCATGTAGAAATGCAGACAACAGAGGGTGTGAAGAAAAGGGAAGGCGGTAACAAGAAGAAACAAGCCAGACTAAATGACAGGTTGGCAGAGGTCCACACGAGCTACAGTGGAGCTTCTGGAAATATGTCCCTTAGATTTTACAGCATCAAAAGTAGTGACATTCAACTTTAGTTCACCACAGGAAGCAGCTTCAGAGTAAAAAACCTACAAAATACATCAGCTATGCATGGAAAAATGCATAAACTGTAGTTAAGAGAAAAGGGGTCAGCAAAAAAGTCTTGCAACTGCCACTAATCACATCAGCATGATAATGTCCCCGTGTTTTTGCTCAAAGAGGGCAAAGGTATAATCAGCCTTCTTGTTGACGCTTCCAAAACTTCCTTCTGTGCAGCAACATGGAGAAAGCAAAGCCTAAAAGGACTGACGAGACTGTCCAGTTTGTCACCACCCCCACTGGTCAGCCCTCACAATCGCACAAAGGAACTATTGTCGAGCACAATGGGGTCACCCTCTCTGTTCTCGCTGGTCTGATCCTAGTCAGTCACTGCTCATAGAGCCTGGACGGAAGCCAACTACCAGGCAAGGATCTTCGAAGACATCATACAGCTTGGACTGCCTTCACTTACAAGATTTTGTATTCCTGAATTAATTTAAACTGAATGAACGCAACAACTGGAAGAGACCGGATGCAGGAGATGACAGCGAGTCATGTTTTCTTGAGGACCTTAATAACTGGTAAAGTTTTACAAGAAGGCAGCTCTGTTGAGAGCAATGGGAACCAATGATCATCGTAGGGAAAAAAGCCTTATGACTTAAAGAGAGATGCTTAGAAAAAGTTCTTAACATAACTTCTTTATTTAACTGTAAGATGACCTAATTCAAGACACAAATCAGTGAATTATGTTGGTACTGTCAATGTTTTGTCACTCAAGAGCTTTTACGTGAACTCAAATTGTTGCCATAAATTCAGCTTTTTGGAACAAGTTCGCTGCACTGCTCACATTACCAGCAAATTCAAAAACTTGATGTGGAAAACAGAAAAATTCTACAGAAAAATTGGACTCTTTGTGTTCTTCAAGGTTGGTTAAAACTGTTAAATCAAATCTGATAGCACTGACACATACAGAAACCCTTAAAAGCCAGTGAGAGTGACAATTCCATCGTGCCCAATTTGACACTAGAATTAAAGTTAGTAGATGTGACATTTGAATGCACTAAAAGGGCTTCAATCTGACACAAACCCTTTGAAACCAACATACTGACATTCAATGACATTTAAAGTGTGTTAAAGTGGTAAAGCTTGTAAGTGTGGTGGACTGAGATAGAACCTACCGCACACAGCAGTCACACTCAGGCTTACCTTGTAGCATGCATCTATATGCAGACTCTGAGATGGCATATATGTGAGGGGGCATTTCGTGCCTCTTTTTGCCCCTGTACATCTCTATGATGTTCTCTGAGTAGATGGGCAGGTTTTTGTAGGGATTTATGACCACGCAGAAGAGACCAGAGTATGTCTGCAAAAAGAAAAGACAACACAGTTGGCGGGTAAGTCATCACAAAGCAACCTTAATGGCACAGTGAAACTTTTACAGTATTTTAATATTGATGTGCATCGATTGTACTGAGAAGCAAATGGACAATGAAGAAGCACAAAAGGACTCTGAGATCCTGTAAGTGCACTGTTATAGGAACAAAATGACATTACATTCTTTAAAGAGAGTGCGGATGACTTTATTGGATGCTGACCATGTTTCTGCAGAGATCAAAATACTGTTTTACAATTTTTATTACTCTTTTACGGTTACAAAAGCACATCTGCACCCAATCATGCAACACAATAAGTCTCATATAGGAACAATTTCATATTCCTGACTCAAATCTATGATGGTTTTTCTCTGAGCTTTGCACGTATCAGAGTCAGATTGACTGCAAATCACTCCTTGCAGCCTGATGTGTGCTACTTGTGCATGAGGTGGTGTGCATTTGTGTTACGGGATGATTTGCATAATCCCATAAAACAGCCACAAAAGGCCACCCTTCTGGCTTAGTTTGTGTGGAAGTTTCATTCACAAAAATATTAAAGAAGATAACTGAACCATTAATCTAGGAAGGCCTGCAAAAAACCTCCGTATGTGTGCTTCAAGTGCAGCGTCAGAACAAATATTTAGCAGAGTAGAGAACACCCTGGACAGCTCCCAACTAAAGCCGGACAAAGTAAATACGCTTGTCTTCTTGGCAAAAAAAACAAAAAAACAAGATGATTAGGTCTGCAAGACCTGGACTAAACCAAAGGATGATCCTTTACTTTTTGGCCGGTTAATACTTGTAAGCTAAGGATTTAATCAAGCTACATCCAAGGCCAAGGTGATCTGGACGGAGTGAAAACCGCACTTATATGTGAACAGTGTTTTTGTAGAATGTGCGTCCTGTTGGTGCTGCGGAAAGAATTTCCTCACAGAGACAATCAAGTCTAAATCTACATCGTTCAGTCTTTTTCTTTTCTTTTTTTAAATTTAAGAATTTATCTTCTATTTTGCATCTAAGTATTCCTTTATTAGTGGAGGATTTAAAAGTCAATGGATTCATTGCAACAGGAGAGGAATAACTGAGGCAGAAATGATTGGTGGCATTTAAATGTATTCAAGACATTTAACCCACAGCAATTCTTTTGAATTTACTATTTAAAAGATTAATAATATCATAGATGGTAGAATCTTCTATTAAACTAATAAAGTAGTGAAATAGGAAACTGAAAATCATAAACGCTAAAAGAAACTTCGCAAATCATGCTGACAATATGGTAAAATGCAAAAAACTTTGCGATAAGTTTTAGGTTTATATCTTGTTTCAGTTAATTTTAGCATCACATCTAAACTGAATTTATTCAGATGCAGGTATCATGAGTCAAATTATTATTTTCCCATTTACTGACAGGCAGGCTATTTGTAAATGACTCACATGACAACTCTTAGGAATTTTATTTGTGCCAAAGAGAAATCTCTGAGTACCAGAAAATTGGAGAATGTCACAAATTCTCTTAAATCACTTGTACATGCCACTTAAGAATGAATCTGTTCATACGAGTTGCTCCTGCATGAGTCTCATTGTGTTGTGCACATTATAAATTCATGGATCATCATCATCAGAAAATTGTGCACGGCTGTGGGCTGCTGGCTCACTGCCAAGCTCCCTACAGTATTCAAGATTCTTACTTCACTCACTTCTCCTCCTCATATGTGGAAATCTTTTTCTCGTCATTAAACTGGTGGAAATTTTACCCCAAAATCCTTTTTACTGACAACAGACATCAAATACAGGAGGTGGTGATTTTAATCCACAACAGCATATCTGTCCTTCAGCGGTATAATGCAGACAGACACGCAGTCAGACAGACCAGGACAGGGTTAATCCCTGATATGTCTGCTGCTGCTGCTGCTGCTGCAGGAATATTAACTCAAAAATGCACGCAGGGGGAACGCAGCATACAGCACAAGCTGCCAGATTAATTTTGATGAATAAATCACAACCACCTATCCAGTCACAATGAAGCTTCAAATTAAAGTGAAAGCAGACCCACCACATCTTTTCCCCCTCTTTCTGCTGACATTTTACTTTATTCTCTCATTCTCTTTGAACTATATTGTCAAAATTGTCCTTCCGCTTTCTCCTCACTTTCTCTGCATCTCTTTTTCACCTTTCTGATTTCTCTGTGCTTGGCTTGGCTGAAAAAGCACATTCTTTAAATGATGTTGTCTGTGGCAGCCAGTGGGCTTCAGGGGGCCCAGGGCCTGCTAACCCAGTTGTTGAACTGGAACAATGGTGACACAACCAAAGCATTCTGTGGCTGCAGTGTGGATTGTATATGTGAGTCAGTGAGAAAGAGAAAGACTTTGAAAAATGTAAAACAACTGTCTGCTGGCTGGAGGTTCACAGCACACGTTCATACATACACGACAAATGTGATCATTCTGATGCTGTGGACCTAAAAACCACATTGTGATGTTAATGCAACACTCACCCAGAGCTGGGCTGCAATTCAATTCTATGACCTAAAATTTGAACCCCTAAGTAAACTTTCAATGATTACATTGTTCCAGAAAACCACAAAAACATTCTGGTGAAACAAAACCAAAAAAAATACAACATCAATAATAACATTGTGCTGGTATATAATACTGATGTATTCAAAAATACTTCAGGCATCACTGAAATTAACCTCAAGTTACAGTGCAACACATAAAATTTCATTCAAACACTGCAAAGTTGCAAAACCATTTTAAAACTGAAACCCTAACAGATATCGGTTTAGTGTAGGAGTAGCACACTTAATGATATCACTGCTGGTGCTTGTGTTGCGCTGCAGCCCACGTGTGTGGAGGGTGGGGGTAAAGTCACCAGATGGCGACTAACCCACCCACCCTCCCTGCCTCTTCCATGTGCACAGATGCTTTAGACACGACTCTGCGTTGCAACCTGGCCACAGAGAGATTTGTTACTTTGGAATCACCAGCGGTATTTCCCAGTCGAACTCTAATATTGTTCTACATATCTGGCACTGACATTGCAAAGGCCGCAGCTCGGCAACTGCAACTGACTGTAAACACTAACTTGATTTTACAGTATGCACCATAGCAGCGTTGCCATATTAACCCCTTCCCAGACCCCCTACAGTGGGCACAGCGCCAGGCAGACAGATCAGTGATCCTGACCCAGCACAGACCACAGGCAGCGGGGAGAGGGATGACTCAGCTGGCTGTCCTTGATGGTGAACCTCAGGGGGGGCATTTGGAGGATTAGTGGGGCTCTGACGGTACGGGGTTGGCCGCCAACACAACCAGGCATAACAAGATAGCAGCCAACAGCCCTAACAAGACACGGGAGTGTTGCGGTTCGTCCGTGTCTTAAATGTTGAGTTTTGACAAAGGAATGTCTACTCAGAGGAAAGTTAACAATAAATCACGGTAGATGAACTGTTCAACATATCAGTCTGTGAGTCAACGCAGCCTTGAGACCCCCACCCAGGGAAGCTATGGTCAACAGAGAAAAACTCTGACACAGTTGAAAGGATTCCTGGCTCTCCAGAAATGTCCAAATAAATGTCTGTGAATCGAGCGGTGCTTAGCAACAGGGCTTTCTCTCAATGGGAGAAGGCGAAAAGATTTCTGGGGGTCTCTGCTATTGCAAGAATTCATTCTGATGTAACTGGGCTAAGTGGTCTTTACCATGTCTTTTGAAGTATCTTTGCTAACTTAACAAGTCAATTAAAAATGCATTTGCTCAGCACAACACATTTTAATTATTTCTGTCTGTGCATAGACCAACTGAAGATGCTCCTAGATTTTCTAAATCACGAGGTGCTCTTAATCTCCCTCAACAACACTTGATTAAAATGGCAAACCTGTCATCAGTGTAGGCTTTTGAGTGCTTGGAAGGCGATACAACCCAAATTCAAACAACTGAAGGGACTGAATGCGTCCCGAGTTAGCGGAACAAGGAAAATGGCTGCATTAAAAAGCAAACAAAAATTAACTGGAAGACTGGATCCAAACAATCTGTGAGGAATTACAGCTGAAGGCATCTTGTGGGGCCTACACCAACCGGCATCGTGCTACAGCTGCGGAGACACTGGAGACTGTGTTGCACAGAAATTGGAGTTGACAACTGACAATATGGATGTTCAGATTCTCAGTGATCCAGGTCGTGGTAATCCTAGGATGAGTGGTGAAACGTTTTCATAAACCTAAAAGAGAAGTCCAGTTGATTTCTACTAAATCTTGACTGAAATATGTCTGCTGATATTATTGTCTAATATTTGCCTGTCATAGTGCAATATCATATATATGCCAATATGATAACATTATTTACAGAACAAAACACAGAAAAAGATGCTTTGGGTGCTTTAGAACTGACATCATCACACAGTTTGTCCATCAGAGCAACTCCATTCTTTACAATACTCTTCTCTGTCTGCAGCACATGTAGCAGAGCTGAGCTGGCAGTGGAGCAGAGCAAGGGGTTGTCTTTGCAGTAAGTTGCTGTCTAGCTATTGCAAGACGCTGCTGAAAATGTAATGAACAATGACCCCATCATTTACCATTTTCAGTATAACTCTAACATACGTATATAAACATCATCAGCAGAATTTCTTGCTCTCTGACAAAGTCCAGCATTGGCCAGGCTGTAAAAATTAGCATAATGATTTCTGATGATGTTTCTGAATTTTATGTTATTGGGAACCGACAAAGCAACTATGTGAAGTGAAAAAACTGCTGCTCAGCTGGCTCATAATGTTGTCAATATGTGGGTAAAAGAATTAAAGTCTTGGACTGGAATGATGCTTATTTTCCACATAAAACACACTAAAAAGAGAAGAAAAATCTTGTGACCAGGTTTCAGTTGTGAACAAAGACACCAATAAGAGGCAGGCTTAAAGAAACAGCCTGCCGATGTAAGTGTTCACACAAAGCTCTCCGCCTGGAGCAGTCTTCTATCCTGCACCACTGGACTAACAAAGGATGAGCATATAGTGCCCTGCATTCAATAATACATCACAGCGACATTGTGACTTTATCCAGCTTTCTTTTCTCCTGAGCCACTGGGTCAGAACATATTTGGTAATCATGGTATGTCCATGAAAAATTCAATGACTGAAACATGTTGTCAGCTTCGGCAGTTTCCCTTTACCCGAGTCCAGCCACTGATCCACTGCCAACACGTCTAACACATCGTAACTATCACATTTACCATCACGAATCCTGTGTGAATGGAAGCCCGCAAAGAGGTTATGTCAGTGCTATGCTATCTTGGTCCAATTTAAAAGGTCACACAGTCCTCAAAAGCCGGACAGGAAAACACGCTGAGGTAGGAATGCTAAAGCAGCTGACCAACAGTTCTGCAGGCTTCTAACTCAAGCCTCTTAAAACTCCGTGTTCATTAACTTCACACTTGGGAGTATTGGCTTTGAGGAAAAATCAAAAAGATGTAATAAGGCAACACACAAAAAAAAAAAGACTAAGCAACCGGATAAGACGAAAGGCAGTACAGCAGTAAACATTCAAAAGCTGACATGGATTGGCTGTTAATTATGTATCAGTCTTCTTCCAGCAAACCAGAAAAATTCAGTTATTTGAGTAGACAGATGTTGCTTATCAGTGAACACAAAGAGCTCTGTTAAGGCGGTTTGGTTACAGTGTGACTCAGCACTGGCCTCCCAGAGCTAAGAGATGGGGCTGGGGGTTATTTCTTTCTCCTTTATAAGCCCTCTGAAAATACAAATATGTTCTTTACTTTGGCTTTTTTTTTTTGAACTGAATAAATAAAAAGTGAACTTGATGACAATAAATCTGTAGCTTATGTAGGAAAAAGGCTGCAAAGGTCACACTGTACGTTGAGTTTTGTTACAGGACACGCAGAGAGAGAATCTGGAACCGATTATTAACTTTTCTCAAGTGACCTACAAAGAGATTAACAATGATTTATGTTGCAGCGTTTCCTCTGAGAGTTCTTATAAGGTCACGGACAGCGAACACATGGCAAAGCTCACAATGGTCCACGTTGCCTGGTCCAATGGCATGCTCAGATACACTACATGTGTTATTATAGTTATATGTAGTGGGTACATAGAGCTGCAATACATTGGAGCTGCAGAAAAATATTTACAAAACTGTATATGTAGCTGTCTATCATGTTTAAGATTGCTAATTTCAATTTTTTCTATATTGTTAGGAAAAATACCAATTATAGTGGACTTGGTAATACATGATGAAGAGCTATAACAATTAGTCTGAAAACTCTCGCCCAAAATGCTCCAGTGAAAGCACAGTGTCTTAAAAAACAAAACAAGAAAACAAAAAAACTGACAAAATTAAACCATTTATCAGAGCCATAAACCATGAAAACAATAGAAAAAAGTTAAGGTTTTGAGCTTCCTTGAAGCTTCCTTGAACTACTCATCTGTGAGGTTTGATCAAAAAAATGATCAAATCTAACTTTAAAATCTTTAAAATCACACTATTCTTCATGTCTAGTTTAAAAACTTACCAAAAAAAGTTGCTCTAACAAGATTATATGAATACAAAAAAATGCTGCACTCCTCAGTGCAAACGGGAAGCCATTGATCAGGTGTCACCTAGCAAAAATTAAGGGACTTTTAGGCTGAACTGGGCTGAACTGCAGGCTGTGTTTACACAGAGCAGATGGGAGAAAAGTATGAAAACAATTTAAGAATGTAAGAAGTAAAATATCTATAGTAAGTCGAGTCAACATTTTTCTTAGGTACTAGTAACACCTTTAGGCAAAGAGGGAAAAATATAAAGAACCAATACGTCACTCTACTTGGGAGAAATTGAAAGTCTATTCGAGTCCCAGCAGAGTAGTATTACCTGCATGTGCATTTTTTCCTCTAATCAATCCCCTGAGGGACATAATGCCATGAGGCTGGTGGTTTGGCCGGCCATCGACTGGATTATGACAGTGATGTAATCATGCCTCATCAACACAAAGACTGCACAGAGTCTTCATTAACCTTTCAAATGTCATGACTTCATCCATAAAGCTTCCAGAGCTGCATCTACTGGCCAAGGCAGAAAACCACACAATTACTTTCAACTGCAGCTCATCTCCCTTAAAACCTAACACAAGCACGGCACTTTCAGAATTAGCCCTTGACCGAAAATAAAAGACTTGTTTCTAATTATCTGAATGCAAAACATGAATGGTTTCTGACAACACCAGCTTTAACCAGTATTTTCTCATACTGTCTAATCACTTCATCAAAGCATATAACGAACATCAGGAGTGAATAAGCACAAATTTGTCCTCTTAATATTGTGCCCCAAGTAAAATCTAGTTTTCTCTTTAATTGCATTGTGACCACGTCTTTAAGTATGAACTCCGCTGCTGCCGCCTCCCTGAGTCTCAGGTGGCCCACAAGCTCCGTATCTGGGCTATTCCAGGAATGCATGTCATTAAGTGGGTCAAAATCACAGGGGAAATCGGCAGATTATATGGGACATGATGGCTTAATCGTTGAAGGAAATGTGTGTTTTAGTCTCTTGAAGTCAGAGACTTTAAGAAATGCTATGGAAATATGTAGAAGTTTTGTTTGGAATAAACCAAATGTGTTTATTAAGCATGCTAGGTATGCTGTACGGTTCTCCAAATCACCTTAAATACACACAGTAGCATTCTCACACACACATGCATCAATTTTAGACTTATTAAGAATATTACTCCAAAAGAAATGTCCTCTGGGAATGTAGTATTTGCATTATATTACATTACACTGTTGACTGATTTGTCTTCTCCAGGGGTTACAACAGGCAAAGCTCATATAAACCAAACCAAAAAAACAAAACTATGAGTTTAATCATGTACCTTTATCTCAATGTTCTGCTGCTTTGGTGAATCAATTGTAGCTAGTATGAGCACGTGATGAACAAATCTTCCTCCAGCTGGTTTAACTATCACTACTGAGGCCAGCTATACACTTTGTGGGTAACACCAAGCCAGTTTTTTTTTTTTTTTTGCCAATAATCACAAAACACTCACATATTATAGCGACAAAAACTGATCAAAGCCATTAAGATTGATTCACCTTTGCATAGGGATATTTTCATTTCAGCACCTATTTATTAGTTGGCTGTTGTCATCCTATTAATTAAATCCAATTTAGAAACAACTTGATCACTGTGTGGCTTCGACATTGCAATGACATGGATTACATAAAGTCTTATGATGACAAAGTGATAAATCACTAGAGTTAAACTAACGATCAAAATAAGATTTTTTCAGACCGAAAAATCACATTTTCTTTTTTCAATGGCTGCACTTTTTATACTTCAATAATACTCACATAGATGAGGCCAGAGTAGTATCGGTCTTTGAGATTGTGTAGCACAGAGGCCTCGTTCAGGCAGGTGAGTTCAGCCATGTCCTCCACCTTGCTGAACTTGGGCGGGTTCATCTTCTGGATGTCATCCTTGTTGACCACCGCCTTCTTCCCATTCTCTGCCAGCTCCACCACCACCTCGTCTCCACGCTCCTCGCGAATACTCGCAGCCTCGAAGCCATTACGTTCTGATGGGATCCATACTAGCCTCTTGGCAGTCCAGTCGGCCTGTGCTGCCGGGTTGTACACCACAGCGCGGTCCACAAAAAGGTACCGCTCTGGGTCCTCCTGCCCACTCCTCTGTGACATTGCTGCTGGAGACCAGAAGCAGAAGACTCTAGGCCACCTGTGGTGGGGAGAGAAAGTATTGAGTTCCCCAGTCAACGAAGAAAAATCATGCAATGGCAGGTAATAACGCAGTAATGAATCACCAAAGCAGGCCCTTTTTCTTGATCTGTCAAGCACAATGCTGTGACAATCAAAAGAAACCTACCTGTGTTACAGCAGTGTTTTAATTCTGTAGGACTGCAAATAAATCGGTATTTCAAGTTCTCAGAGTTGCAGGTTTAGGCAAAACACTATGAAAGAGTTTTTCACAAAAGCAAAGAAATAGAAAATGTGGGTCTTGGTCATAATTTAGTTATAAAATTCAGCACGAAAGTTGAAAGCCCCGTATTTGAAGCATCAAAGACGCTGAAAGGGAGAATACACACTACCAGAGTAAATACTAATGTTCTAGTGAGACAGATAAAAGCGTTGCGGCGGCTACCAGAAAACACAGTGAGCTTATATTACCTTCCCGATTTCCATTACAGTAATATTCTAACTAGATTTTTTGGGGGGGGATGGGACAATGTTTGTACGGTTTATAGATTGCAAAGGTATTACCATGCATCGGTCTGTTTATAATAACTTCTGATGTGAATCGCTGTCATATAAAAGCTAGCCTTGTGTGAGTGGGAGGCTTTCGAGAACCATTTACCCCAGTACATGAGATATTTTATATCACAATACCCATTCTTACTTCATTTTAAAACATTTTCTGAAAATCCTACATTGCCATAATTGCAGGCCTGCTAGTTGATTTTTAACACTGACCATAATGGGTACTGTTAATGGGAGAGCTGCTGGTTAACAGGTGTAGCCAAATCACTAATAGCTGCTATTTACATCACCTTACCATAAAGCCTGCACACCATTCAGGCTTAATGGCAAACTATCTAGAGTAGATCTAGATATATAATGTGAGCATTTCAGTTAAGATATTGATTTCAACAAGCTCCAAACAATACAGCTGAATGCTGCTGGTGGCTGAGTGTTTCAATGCTGACGCAGCTTCTGTGAAGGCTGTTAAATGTTGGCTTTGAGACAGCAATGACTGGAATTCTTCATATAACAACCTATTTCTTCCAAAAGTAGCTGAGGTCTTAATAGTTAATGCCGCTGTTTCTAATTTTAACATTATTGTTTCATTGAACAAATATTCTAAAACAAGTGCCCTTCGGCGCATGTCGAGCTGACAGACAAGTGTCACAGCTAATCACAGTCATAAGTGGTGTTTGCTGCTTTCCTGTCATTACTCTGCAGGGGCCTGTGATGACTAGTCTTCTATTAATGTACCAGTATTAGAAAATGTGGGTCATCTACAAACAATGGACTGTCTTTGTGCAAATTTGCACAATATGTGAACAATGTGCTGAAGAAAATATATAAAAGTGAGTGGTAATATAGTACAATAATCCTAGTGTCTAGAAATTCCCATTGAGAGGATTATTCTCTAAATCCTGAATCATCATCTCGTACAAACTACTACAGAATAAACATGAGAGGAATCCCTTGATATGATACATTTATTAGAGATGCATTCGCTTCTGGTTAAATGAGAGAAAATTGAACTGAATAAAGATGTAATGTGAATTATTTGTGTTCTGCCTTTTAATTTGTTAACTGTATTTTGCCAGAAAGACTTGTTTGGCCCACACAAACAAGCATGTGAGAGTGAAGCCTCCATCCTTGTGCATAACCAACCCACATGTACAGCAACATCACCTGAAGAGGTGCTTCAAAAGCAAAGAAAATCCTGACAGTTATGCCAAATAAAAGCAAGGTAAAATTATGAACAGTTTAAGTATTTTATACCCAAATCATACAATTACTCAACAAATTGATTAGATGACAGAAAACCTTGTGTGGTTAGTATTTAATCATTTTGATCATTTTTTTCAAGCAGAAATGTCAAATATTTCTCAGTCTCAGCTTGTCAAGTGTAATGATTTCTTGCGTTTATGTTGAATATCTTTGGATAATTAATAGCTGGTCAGACAAAACAAGCAAGTTGGAGATGTTGCCTTGAGCTTCAGGCAATGTGATTGGCATTTTTTAAAAAACATTTTACATGTTAAAAGATTAATGCAGAAAATAATCTGCAGGTAAACAGTTAATAAAAATAATTTGTGCATCGACACCTAATTTGCAGATGCTGCTTTGGGCTTTGGAAAACAGTGAGGGTCTTTGAAAATATATATTTCCTGACATTTTGCGCACTAATTGTTTATTCAAGAATATAATAAACAGATGAAAGTGTGCTGCAGCTCAACAGAATAGGGGTGAGAAATAACACAGTCCCTTCCACAAAATGAGATGAAAACAGACAGAACACAGTAAGTGTTTCAAAAAACTTGGCACTTGATGCCCTCAACAGCTGATGCAGGGACAAGTCATGACAGAAAGCACCACTCCAGCTTGTATCTTATTAACCTCAGCTGATGAACGCTCAGAGAGATGTTTAACCTACAATCAGTCCCATGCTTAAATCAGGCGCTGGTTAGAATCTGGGTCAGGTCACGGGATGGTGGACTAGTGTGGCTTGCTGGCTGTCGAGTCACTTCCATCCCTCATTCAGCCCCAGTCCATTGGAGTATATCTATCACACTGCAATATCCCAGCAGAGACGGTTCGAGACATTTTACTAAGCCGTGAAAACAGCTCGTCGTGGGCTGATATGTAGCCCTGCCAGGCCAAACAGCTGCATCGGCTAGGTTAGCTTGCTAACGTTAGCTCAAAGTTGGCGTGCTGTGCTTCACATCCCAGCCGCTTAAAAAGATGCCTGCAAAGGGCTCGATAGCGCTGGTGAACCACCTAACCAGAGGGAGTACACTGGTGCTATTACTACTTTATGACACAATAAGGCGAATAAATATTCCAACATTGTCTAATTTCAAATTAGGGGTTTCAGGGATGAACTGTGCAGCCTCCTCAGGCAAAATCCCATCATGGGTGTGGGTGGCTCAAAGACGTCTGGGTGGGGATAAAAGCAGGCGGACAATGACCACGCCGTTTCACATCAGCTCCCAAAGACTCAACTTCTAAAATAACACACATGCGGCGCGAATATCAATTTGAGACCGTGTCTGGCTCATACAAAGAGCACAGTGGCTCTGCGGCGCGGGCTAACGCTAGCAAAGCTGATGGTCCTCCATCATTAAAAAGTCATGGCACAATAATCCGCTAGCTAACGGTTACCGCTGCTAACCTCCACATCCTCACTCAATTTAACGCTCCCGGCTGCTCGGCTCAACTTACCGCACACAGTCGACGAAGAAACCCCGTCCAGGTGTCTATTAGCGTCCAGCAGATGAATGCAATAGTCCTCCAATGCGTGCTAAAACAGTCCCTTCTTTCGCCCGCTCTCTCATCAGTGGTACTCCCCCACCATCCAGCACCCTCTCAACCGAACTCTCCCCGGCCCGGGAGGATGCACCGCACCGCCGCACTCTTCTCTGGCAACGCCCACAAGGCAACGCTGCATTGTGATTGGCTGTCAAAGTCCGATGCCTCACCGTGATTGGTGCAGAAATAATATCCATCCCAAAACTTTGATAGTTGACGCCTGCCGCCCAACATATCAACACCTGCAGACCGGTGGATGCTGCTGCTGCTGCTGCTGCTGCTGCGGCCTGTTGTGGCTGTAGGACGTTCGGTTTGTCATTGCCATTTACATTCATCATAACCTGCTGCACCAATAATAGCAAAAAATAATATTATTGACTAAATAACGACAACTTATGGTCCTATGGTAATTTATACTGTCATGTCATTGTTGTACTGTCTTTATTACTGTTTTATTATTTCATTTTTATTTCTATTCATGTTTATCTTAGCAATATCTATGAATCGTGCTTGTTTTTCCGTCTTGCTCCTGCCTGTACATCTTTAATATATGTCAAGTATATATCTAATTTCATCTTGTTTTCATACATCCAACATCTAAACTCTTAACAGTTTAGCATTTATCATATGCTATGGTATAATGGACTTTTACTCGTAGGTTGCTCAGGAAAATGAGGAAACTGCAGTGCTGATTACTTTGCACATAAACCATCCTATATTTACAATTATGTACAATTATTAATTGGACATTTATATAAGGTAGTGTATATGTAAGTGGAATTTCTAGATTTTCCTTTAAGTTTGTGCTGTTTAAATTCTTTGTGTTTCTTAGTATGAAGAGTTCATTTGCAAAAACAGATAACTCCATTTTTGTAGATTTTCAGAAAACTATTTTTTGTTGTTGTTTGCTTGAGATAATATCAATTAAACTGAAGTTGAGTGGATTTGACTCAGTAGAAATGACAAAAACAGAGTTAACTTAAGTTTGATTGATACTGTCTCAGGAAGACGATGGAAAAGTGGGTTTTCTGAAGGTTTATGAAGATGGCGTTATGTGTTTTTGCAAATGAACTCTTCATATATTTATCCTTCAACACTTACAGACCAACCTTTCTGCCCACACATGTATGAGTCTTGCCTATGTTTCGGCCTTGTTCTGCTGTTGTTGGTTGCTTCATCTTCATTTTTAATACGATGCTACTTTATTATCATATATCAAACATATAAAGTAAAAACAAAGTCATTTACATTTATATTTATCTATATAATATGACACCTTCTTCAACTTATGATCCCATTATAATGCACGCTGTTATTGTGACATTTTGTCTTTCATCAAATTTTATTATTTCTGTGCAACAGTCTCAAATTACTTTTCAGTCTGTATTTACCATCATAGTTAGGTCACCAGTCAACTCTAACATAATTTAAATTGCATTTACATGCTGAAAGGAGCCACACAAATGAAGTTTGACTGATGTATTTTCCACTTTAATTCATACACTATGATATAACAGTCTGTTATACTGTTCTTTCTATTATCATACACAGTATTTCATTTGCCCATAAACCAAATGAAGAGTTCATTTGCAAAAACAGATAACTCAATTTTTGTAGATTTTCAGAAAACTTATTTTTTTGTTGTTTGCTTGAGATGATATCAATCAAACTGAAGTTGAGTGGATTTGACTCAGTAGAAACGACAAAAATAGAGATAACTCAAGTTTGATTGATGTTGTCTCAGATAGACGATGGAAAAGTGGGTTTGTGAAGATGGAGTTACCTGTTTTTGCAAATGAACTCTTCAAAATTTGTGTTCTTTGTTATTAGTATAATTTTACTTTCTTCGCTTGAATATTGGTTGTTGCTCTTTAATATATGTCTAATTTTTAATAAGGTGCTGCCTTGTTTTTCATACATTCAACATATAAACTAATAACTAAGTCACTGACATTTACATTTGTCATTCTCTGCTACACACATATGATTAAAGAAATTAATAAATTATACAAATATGGCAGCCTCTGCAGTTTATGGTGCTATTGCAATACATGTTGCTATTGTAATTTTGTCTTTCATTTAGTTTTGATTATTTCCCTTCTTTGTACAACAGTCACACATTGCATCACAGTGTATATTTACTCATATTTTTACAGCATTTTTTGTTTTTTGCACCTTATGATCATATCTTAAAGACGTATATTGATAGCAAAACCAGATGTCTGTTGTGGTTGACTGTAATATTCCAATCAGACCTTTATATATGTCAATTATTCAGACTGGAAACACAATTTACTGTGTTTAAATAGCGCCCTCTGTTGCACGAGAAGAGACACTGCTACTGCCTGCCCTATTTAAAATACATCAGAAAAAAAAAAAAAACACTAAAAAAGAAGAAGAATACAGAAGGTAGAGGTCTTCATACTGTGACTCTAAATACAAATTTCTGGATCAGTTTGTTTATGGATGAGGTACAGGATATGGTTGGTGGCGCTACTGTATTACAACATGTCACAGATGATTTGGTGATTTTCTGTCCATATTATTGAGGATTTGTCCAAGCAGTTGGGTCTAAATTTTGATTCACACATTAGTTTTCAGGATTCCTGCCTCTGCCCCTGATTTGCTGGCCTCCTTTCCTTCTGTGTGATTGAGCTGCAACCTGATTGGCTGCCAGTGGAGACACCTGTACAGGGGCTGGCTCACCTGCCACCAATCAACACTCTTCTCTGTGAAACCAGCTCAGACCTCACTCTCTGCTAGATTTTTGACATCTCACTTAGAGTATTTCCCTACCTTATAGTCTGTTCTTCACTGTGGATCATAATTGTTTCAGCCTGTGGACTCTGAACATGTGGATCTCCAGCTTCTCCCTCCCCAGCCTGATCTGACAGTTAAGTTTTTCCTGGCCTTGTTGTTTTGCTCAGCTGAGCTCATGCTCGGTGCTCCATGTGTAGCTTCATGTGTTTGGTTCATTCTTGCCCTGTCTCCTAGCTCCTTTTGGTAGTTTGTCTCCCCAGCTGATTCCTGGTTCCATGTGATGAGCATTTGTTGTTGCTTCCAGTTTGTTTTGGGGTTTTTTAATTCTTGTTGGTCAGTTTAACTAGCTTGCCTGCTCACCTTCTCTTGCTCACGCCCCTGGTTTGTTCGGTTCACCAGTTGTTTATCCCTGTGCATAGTTGGTAACCTGCTTTTCACATTTCATGCATATAGGTACAGGATTTTTTTTCTTTCTATAAAACTGAATTTGTGTTGCAAGTACAATCAACGTGGACACAGAACACAGCTGGTGTATTTTCATCTGCACAAAAATCCCATTTCTTACTGTGGCTGGGTGATGACTCTGCAAACATGAAAACTTTGACATCCACCAGATATTCCGTGGTAGCACCTCTGGACAAGAGTTCCAAAACTCCATGTAATTATTCTTTGGAATTATTTTCTGCAAACGTGATTACACCAAAAGTACGTGCACAGAGGGGAGGACCATTATACCACAGGAAACAATGCAGTTTACCTTTCATTTCTCCTGAAATAGGATTCATATTGATTCTTGCAGTCTAGTGGCAGCACAGTCCTTCCCTACACCTCCTGGCATCCAACTCCAAGTTTTTATTTGAATTTTTTTATCATGGGTTGCTTTGATTATTGCCTTCAAACAGGCTTAAATCTGTCAGATACCGATGAGTTCACACAGAGAAATCAAACAGCAGCTGGAACGTGGAAAGATTGTGCCGTAATTCTTGGTTTTATTGTGTTGTAGAAAAAGTAAATAAATCACAACATGCATATCAGCGCTTCCTTTAATACTCTTTTTAGATGATAAATCTACATTGATTCCAAGCTGAGTTTTGTTCTTGAAGTTGCTGTAAATTACCTTTTTGCTGCGGGCACATTCCAATATTTTCTCTGCTTTATTACTTCAGAAACAACTATCAGTCTTAGCCAGTCATTTCAACTGAGATTCAGCCTTTAGGACTTTTTCTTTAAACAAGCAAAAAAAAAAAAGTCACATATTTCCTATGCAGTCTCTCTTGTATCTGGGTAGTTAGAGAAATGAGAGCACATGCTGTGAAATAAGGCGGAATAATGCAAAACGTTTAGACTGAATGCAAAATGTATTTATGTATTTATTTCCCAGCAGGTACAGCCCTAAGAGAGGAGGTTTGAACTTTAAATCAGAGGAAGGCAGAGTAAGCCACAAGCAAATAAGCCTGTAAAACTTTCTCAGCGTGAAAGCAGATTAACGGTGATGGCTCCATTTATTTCAGTGTTGTATTAAACTTTGCCCGTGAGAAGGCAGGATGATTAAAGTTAGAGTAATAAAGTTATAATAAAATATCTGCTGGGAAAATAAATAAAAATAATATTAGTTCATGACCACAAGTATGAAAAAAAAACATTTAAATAAATAAATAAATATGAAAATGTAAAAATGGAATCAATAAAAGTTGATGTATGGAAGAGAATTATTTAAATATGCCATTTGTCATTACCAAAATGCGTTTTAGATTAAGTAGTTTACTTCATTGGCCACTGTTGGCTTTGCAGGGATTGCAGCTTATTGACATCAACCAGCATCTTCAGGTGTCATTTAAAAAAAAAAAAAAAAAAAGGCCTCATCTGTGTGTGCTTCCTCTAAGTGGCTACAAGATGGAGGCAGAGAGCTGGTGTTTGGTCAGGACAGCTGTTGTCATGGTGACATTCAAACAGATAATAATCCAAATGAACTGATTAAAGTTCCCGGTGGAGCCCAGATTGGTGTTGGATTAAATTTAGAGTCCGTTGTATATCTAGGTAAAAGATTGACACTGAAGATTTTCAGTCAGGATAGGTAGCGATACTCGGTTGGCTAAGCTAACTGAATGAAACTGGTAGCTCGTTGGTTCATCCATCCATCCAAGTGTAGCCCTGCGATGGACTGGTGACCTGTCCAGGGTGTCCCCTGCCTTCGCCCTAAGTCAGCTGGGATAGACTCCAGCCCCCCATGACCCTAATGAGGATTAAGCGGTGTATAGATAATGGATGGATGGATGTTTGAACTGTTCAAACTGTTTCTAAAGAA